CCACGCGCACGAGCCCAGTCGCATTGTCTCTCTCGCTCGCACGTACCCGCTCACTTGCTCGCACGCTTGCTTATATACCAACACAAGTGTATAATGCTAACACATTTATTATACCATATATAACATGTGTGTTAATTTGAACCAACTAAAATGCATTCAATTAGCCAAAGTGGGACTAAAATTCACATACTACATATTAAGCATATTTTAATTTTCATCTATGAAATCCAATCATTAAATGATATATTTCCATAAAAACCCTCTAAGATTTATTTATTTTAACAATCCCCCACAATTGCATAGCTGATAGTAATTAAGATTATTGTAGGTAGTAAAAAGTACCTAAGAGTTCAAATAGGTTCTACATGAACCAGGGTGACTGAATTCCTGCTTGGCAAGTCAGACTCTACCAGTCGACCCATCCGACTCCAAAGACTCGAGACCCCCTCATCGACTCGAAGGGCGGTCTTAGTCAGCACTTCGAAGACCTCGTCGACTCGAAGGATGACTCGAAACCCCCTATGCCGACTCGACCTCACCTCGAAGACTTCGAGACGAGACCCTGAGCCGAGACCCCTCTATCGACTTGAAGGGCGGCCTTTGTCGACTAAACGTCCGAGACCTAGAGACCCCGAGACGAGACCCCTTTGTCGACTCGAAGGGCGACCTTAGTCGACTCGAGGTCGAGCCGAGACCCCTCTATCGACTCGAAGGGCGGCCTTTGTGGACTTGACATCCGAGACCCCTTTGTCGACTCGAAGGGAGACCTTTGTCGACTCGATGTCCGAGACCCAGAGACCCCAACCCGAGACCCCTTTGTCAACTCGAAGGGCAGCCTTTGTCGACTCAATGTTTGAGACCCCTTTGTCGACTCGAAGGGTGACCTTTGTTGACTTGACGTCCGAGACCCAGAGACCCCGAGCCGAGACCGTTTAGTCGACTCGAAGGACGGGCTTAGTTGACTCCCCTTCCTAGAGTTGACTCGCTAAGAGCCCCTTCACTTCGAAGACCAAATGGCCGAAACCCCTTCATCGACTCGAAGGGCTGTGTCAGTCTCCCCTTCGTGTTGACTCGAAGGGTGGTGTCAGTCTCCCCTTCGTGTCGACTCAAAGGACAGTATCAATCTCCCTCTAGAAGTCACCCGCTAAGATGACTCGCCAGCAGGTTGAACCCGCCCAGCTCACCAGCATGAGTTGGGGCCCACTTGAGTCGTCCGATTCACCCGCACAAGTCAAGATTGCCAAACCCCGCCTGTTTTGGCCGACTCGCCAGATTGCCAAACCTCGCCTGTTTGGCCGACTCGCCAACACAAGTCTAACAGTTTGTTTGTAGGATTTGAGCTCGCCCGCTTGAGCTAAAAGCTCACCTGTATGCTTGAGATCGCCTAAAGACCAAGCTCGCCTGGTAGCTAGAAACCCGCCAGCACTGTAAATAGCCCACTTGGAGTATGAGAACAGTCACATCAATGACCATATCCCACATTTCAAGGAGGAGAGCATGGTGTTCCTCACCCAAGCATGACCATATCCCACAAATCAAGGAATTGGCCAGCCATTAACGGCTATGAGAAGGGGGCGGCTAACAGGACCCTCTAGGTGGTTACATCCCAGAGCTAGGGTGGGTATTAGGTCCCCTATGTAGTCACATCCTATAGCTAGGAGGCATAGTGCTCCTCACCCCTACTAGTGGTCAAATCCCACAAATCAAGGGATGGCTCATGCCATTCCTTGCCTATTTAAAGCTACTTTCAGCCAATGTGAAAGGAACTTGGCAGATCGTTAAAAGGGTTGGGTATTTTCATTCAGGAGGCTTGGCATTCTTCATACTCAAGGCTCTTCAACCAGAGACCTGTTTTGGCTCACTTTCTTGGTAGAACATTCATGGCTGCAAGTTTAGATTGTTATGATAGACTCGATCTGAACTCTCAGATTTGAGGCTCATTGGCTCTTTGTAAACTCTTGCACTCACAACCCTCTCTAAGCTTCTAGCTT